GTGTGATTTTTAGGAAGGGACAGAATCAAAGGGACGGATTTAAATATAGTTTCCCCCAATAATTTGTCTTTTCCAGTCCTAAAATCCGTCCAACCGCAATTCCAACAATACTTCTCCCTGCGTAGACAGAAATGCCCCGGAAGTGAGACCAGTCTAAGGAGATTTTCCAGCATCGGGGAAACAGCTCAGACCTACAGGGCCCCAGCTTCCTAAGGCGAAACGCGCGAGACCCCTGTAGCGGCAACTATTCGCATCTCCGCAGCCGCTCCCGCGGGGTCCGCTGCGTACCCCTCGTCAGCCGCGCATCTCCCAATAGCTGGAGGGCGGGGGTGAAGACCGGGACCCTGTCGACCCCCTCCAGGAGTACGAAATTGCGGCGAGGAGGCTGTCCGTGGCCGGCAGGAGGGCACCCGGCGTAGACCCCCGCGGCAAGGAGCAACGCGAGGACGCAGACAGCGAGCGACTTCCGTTCGGAGTCCGTGTGGAGCGAAAAGAGAGCGCTTGGCGGAGACCGGGGACTCCGAGGTAGGAACCCCGCGCGGGTGGGAAACAATCCCAAGGATGTCGGCGCCCAGGGCAACCCGGGGACGCAGGCACCGGAGGAAACCGCCTGGCTTCGCAGCGGTCCGAAGCGTCTTGGCCTCCGGCGCGGCCGCAGCGTCCGGCCCGCACCGCTCAGTCGGCTAGGAAAGGAGGCGGTGCCCGCTCCGCCCCGCGCTGCGCCGCGCCCACCAGCTCGCGGAAAAATTGGTTGCGGAAACTTGAGCTAGGAACCTCTGTCCTCCCTACAGCTTTCTACGTTGGGACGGGTCTATCCGACCTTAAAGAACAGAATCATCACGCTCCGAAACTCCAGTTAACGTTTGTTTTGCTCTCAAATACCCTGATAAACGCAAAGCTTAGGAGGCTGAATTATCCTGTACGACCTCTGCCCACCTCAAGGTCTCTTTCACCGTTTCTCCATAAATCTCAGAGCGCCAGCCCCGAGGACAAATGTGAGCTGGGTCTCATCATCCCGGTTGGTCCTCCTGGACACATCGCTAGTCCTTAGCCTAGACAACCTTTGGAACCACGTATCGTAATAATTTACGCACAAACCCAAACTCGCCTCTCTTCTCTTTGGCGGTACGCGCGGGGTATGAATTAAATTCCGAATCCGGTCCATAAAAACCCTACGCGAGCTGCCTGCTCCAACCGCTCGAAATCCTACGAGGCACGCTCCACACTCAAAATCTTTTCTCCCTTTCTCTTGCAAGGTCCCTCGTTTAAACAGCGTCGGCGCCTTTATTCGCCTGACCCTCTGCGAAGGAAAACCCGCCTGATCGGTCATTGTCTGGTCCGCGACCGCCCCCACCCCCGCCCCAATCAGTGTCACAAAAACGCCCCTTTCAGCGGATTCCAAACCCTCTTCACCCGGGCTCACCGAGCCTTCAACTTCATTAAGTGCGCGCTACGGCGGCTCTGGAGGAGGCGAAGTTTAAATAAACCCGAGCGGACAGGGAGGAGGGGTGGGCCTGGGGAGGGTTGCTAGTTGAAGGGGAGAGAGAGAAGTGTTTTTGAAAAGGGGAAAAAAGTCATCAGGGGAAAAGCGCTTTGTAACCACGAAGACGCGCCCGCTGTGGCGAGAACAAATTGGATATGGAGGGGAAGTGTCCGCCCCCACCTCAACTCCGGCTCCTGGGTGGTCCGGGGAGCCCCAGGAGAAAAGAAAGATGGGGAGGAATCGGCGGTGAAAAGAATTAACCACTTTAATTGGGCTGCAAGAGAGAAGTAGGGAGAGGTTCACCGATGTGCTTCGATCACCCAAACCAAATGCCCTTCAATAAAATAAAATCCCTGCCCCTAGCCGTGGCTGAAAGACGTATGTCAAAGTTTGAGAATCAAGGCTGTTCTCAGCCATAGAAAGTAAATCTGCAAGATGGGGTAAATTCTGTCCGGAAAGACCCCTCCCCCTCCTTGTGGCCTCGGGCCTCCCGGCGCCGGATGAAAAGGAATGAAATTGAACGAAATTGAACGAAATGAAGTGAAATTGACCAGTGAAATTCGCCAATTTTCTTCCCCTTTAAACTGCCCGCTCTCGACAGCACTTTCTGAACCCCAGGCCGATTTCTTAGCATTTTTTTTTTTCTCACCTCTAGAGATGAAGGTGTGCCCTGGATATTTTCTTATTGCCACCGATTGTGGGGCCTGTGGGGGTAGCGGCTCAGCTGTCTCCACCCAGAGAGGAAGGGAACCCACAGAAGCTGCTCCTGATGAGATGGCTATTTCTCCCCCCAGTGAGCTGGTCTCCTAAGTAAGCCAGCTTACACTGAACACCCACCCTTTGCACCCACAGGGCGGGAAGGAACCACTTAGAGTCCTTCTGGTCTGGGGGTGTTGGGGGTGGGGACAGAGGGCTCTACCATACAAATCTGCAATCCTCTCATCCTTCTTGCTCTTCCCTACAGTCCAGGTCCCAGGTGGGTCCTTGCCAGTTCCTAATTTACGGGTTCTGGGCCCACACAACCTAAAGGAGTCTCAAATTCTAAAGACCCTCCCTTCTCCCCTGCCTTCAGTAGTGAGGATCTCTCAGCATTTTTTTTTTTTTCTGTATTTTTCAAGGCCAGTTGGGCAACTGTGGCTTCTTTGTGGCTCCCAGTCCTCAGCCATAATCTGAGCCAGATCTGGCCTTCTTGACCCATAGGGAAACTGGGATCTGAGTCACGGGTCTGGGGCCTCAAGCTTCTTAGAAGCCCCTGGAAGGGTGTATCTCACTCTTGCCCGATCCTCCTATTTCTACCTCTTCCTGATAGGAAAGACACACATATACATACAAGCAACATGCTCAGATGAATTTACACACACACATTTACTTCACAAACACACACTGAGGAGTCCAGAAGGATCTGCTGCTTCTCCTGGAAATAGCGACTGAGGCAGTATCTCATCTGCCTATCCACCATCAGATATGAATTCTGGCTGACTTAATTTTCTCTCCTCTAAAGAGGAAAAACCAACTGATAAATCTTTTACTTGAAGCTCCAACCTAATATCTGGGAGTGACATATTCATGGTAAATGAGATCATGTAAGCTACAAAATGCTTTATTGAGGGCAAACACACACACAGTCATGTTCAACCTTCCTCAAATGAAAAGAAATGAAATCAGCAGGCATTTCCCTTTCTACCACTAACTCTAACCTTTCTTCTCGTGGACTGTTTGATAAAATCATGGGAAGGTGGCCCACTGCATTCGACCTCCCCACCCTCCTACAGTCTCTCAAGGAGATGGAGGAGAGAGCACCTCGCCTCTGGCAAAGGGGCTACATTTACTACCTGCGCCTCCAGCCTTGTCTCTCCTCTGTTGGGGAATCAGCTGACTTAGGAGTTGCAATCACTGTTCCTCAGCCCTGGTGCATTCTCCCTATCCTGATCCTGATTCTGACCCTCCTCCCTTAGGGCACTCAGTCCTCTACCTCCTCCTCCTTTCCTGCTGTTGCTAATGCCTGGGAATCTAGCTAAAGAGGCCTGTGGGGCTTCTCCCTGACTGCCCCTCTCAAGTTCTCCAAAGCTGGTTCCCTGACCCTGTCTTCCTCCTCCTCGCTCTCTGTCACTCTAGCCCAACACTCGCCCTCAGCATGTGTCTGTTTTCCCGCAATGGCTAAAATGCCTCGTTCTGTACCTCCACATTTCTCCTTCTCTCCTATGTCCTCCGTTGAATGAACAGAGCTGAGTAACCATCTTTGTTCCACCCAAAGCGTCCCCTCCTGCCCAACATGCTCTTGAGTCCGGCCAGCTGGAGTCCCAGGCACAGGCAGCAAGCTGGGAGACTCACTGGGCTTATGGAAGGCTCCAGCCATAACTCCCGATGGTTTTGCACTCCGGCAGTAGATTCTGGCTGTGAGCATGGCTCAAGGGTTGGGAAGGTTTGGCTTAACAGAGTAGGACCGCACTGCCTCTCTCCTTTGGCTCATAGTGCACTTCTAACCCTCTCAGGCCAGAGGAAAGAAGAGTTTCACAGTCCCCCCCCCCCATTCAATCTTTTCATTCAGACCTGTCCACAACAACAGGAGGGAGGGGGGTCCAAAAAAGGCTCTACAGTGGCTAAAGAGAGGTCTCTCTCTTCTTAAGGACCCAGAAAAAGACAGTGACAGAGAATCACAAACATAGAGCACACATTCATGAACACACAAATAAATAAAAATGCAGATATCCTAAAATACAACTCACTCCCCACCCCAAAGGAGGACAAAAAGCAAGGATACACGATGACCCTCAGAAACACAAACAGGAACCATAAGCTCCATGAAAGCCTCCGCACGCAGAGGCATACAGAATATGCATCAAGACACACAATTCACTCAAACTGTACTTAGTGGATACAGTGTCCATGAGCACTGGGCACCCAGATAAGCCCCTGCCACGCTGAAGTCTAAACCAGAAGATAAGAATCCCCAGGTGCATTTGAAACAAAACCTCTGTGTAAAATCCCAGGCAGACATTTAGGACCAGAGCGAAAATGAAAGTGCTACAGGGGTCACAGGCTTCCCAGAGTCCTGGCCCCATCAACAGCCAAAGGCCGAGGCCACAATATTCCCTGTATCCAATAAGCCCAAGCCCTCCTTTACCTGTCTGGGCTGCCCAGGGCCCTTCCCCACTCCCTCTCTACCCGGGAGCTGGGTGTCTGGGAGAGCCCCGACTGGGAAAGGGAAGTGCAGGCAAGCAGACAGAGCTGGTGACTGCTGGAGTTCACATACATTTATTCAACTGACACCAATCGGAATGGGGGGGAAGACAGATTTTTTTCTTCCACACAAACCATCAGACGATTTCACAGAGAAGTCTAAATCAATGCACACCCAGTGGACAGAGAACGCAGATAGCGGCCCGCTGTACAGATATTTACACATAATTACAGGACCCCCTGCCATAGGATGTGCCCTCGCCCACCCCATCCCCACCTCTCCAGTCCTTGACCCAGACCCTCCTCTCCCACCCCAACCTCATTGCCTTTAGCTACAATAAATATCCCAGGGCCTGGGACAGAGCAGAGCACTGAGAGGGCCGCTGGCCCTGGATGGCTGGACCCAGCCGGCCATGGGAAAGGGGAAAAGTTCCTTCAAAAGCACCCCAACACTAAAGAGGGAGGATGTTCCTCAGTGTGGTGGGATCCGGGGTTTCTGCAGGGATTGTGGAGACCCCTCGCTCAACCTCTCCGTTCAACTTCGCTTGTGTAGACACTGCTTTAGGCTTCAGAGAAAACTAACTTCCTTGGAGAACAGCAAGAAAAAAAAGTTGAAAATTTCTTTTAAGCACAAAGCGGATAATAGGTATCTTTAAATTATAATATTGGGCAAGCAGTGCCTCAAAGTTGGGGAAGGAGTGAGGGAGAGGCAGAAAGGGAGACCTCTCTGCGCAGTTGGGTGTTTCTGGCGGAATCTGCAGGGCCTGGGCAGACATCTCTCCGGGAAAGCATTCCTCCCGGGCCTCTGAGAGGCGCAGAGGCTGGGAAAAAGTGAAGGTTCCCCCCCGCCCCTTTTACTGCTCATTTTGGAGTGGGATCATGGCTTGCGACTTCATCGCATAGACCTGGGCCTCTCCCTGAGCGATGGAGCCCGCTTCGTCCCAACTATCGGCAAAATTCTGAGCGTGGAGCCTGAAGTGCCAAGTCACGAGCGCCGGCCCAAGGTCTGGAGACTCTTCATAAATAGACTCCCTGAGTTCCGCTGGGACCGCAGGAGCTCCCGGGAGAGGCTGAGTGCGGGCCTTACCGGCCCTGAGCTCGACGTGGTCAGAAGTGGCAGCCACTGAGGCCGGCGACTTTGCTGGCAAACGGGGGCCCTGAGGACAGGAGCGCGTCCCCGGGGTGCGAGAGGCGGATGTGGCCGGCCACTGGAGCCAGGGCTGGGGCAGTCAGCATGGCCAAGACCTGGGCTTGACCCCCAGGACCCGCCGCCGCCGCGAAAGGCGATCCCGGGGAGCCCTCGCCTCCGCCCGGGGGTGCTGCCCCGCCGCCACCGTGGCCCATGATGTGGTCTATAGAGAAGGAAGGCCTCTGCCCGGCCCCGGTGCCCCCGGCGCCCGCACCACCGCCCGCGTCCGTCTTGAGGCCCTGGCGCAGGAGTGCGGTAGACAGACCAGCCGCGGTGCCGGCTGCGGGAGGGCTCAGCGACGCCGGGTAGAAGGCTTTGGCGCAGCCCAGCTCGGCGCCCAGGAAGGCGGGCAGGCCTGCGGGGCCGGGGCCCGACCCTGTGCCCGGGGCAGGCGCAGGGGCCGGAGCCGAGGCTGCGCCCGCGAACACCGAGGCCGTCGGAGGTCCGGGTGGAGGAGCAGCGGCGCGGCCTGGGGGTACCGACAGCTGGCAAGGCGCGGCGGCGGCGGCGAAAGCGAAGGCGTGCGGGTGTGGATGCGGGTGCGGAGCCGGGCCCGGTGGGGGTGCGCCGTAGGCCGGGAGCGCCAAGCCGTAGCCGTAACCGTAGGCGCCATAAGCGGCGAAGCCCGGCAGGAAGGCGCCGGGGTCCCCCGCCGCCGCAGCCCCGCCACGCAACAGCAGCTCCGGATGAGGGTGCGTGTGTGGATGCGGCGGCGGTAGCGGCTGCCGCTTGAAGCGCTTGCGGCGCCGCAGGAAGCTGCCGTTGTCGAACATGTCGGCCGACTCCGGGTCCAGCGTCCAGTAGTTGCCCTTGCCCGGGTTGCCCGGCTCGCGGGGAATCTTGACGAAGCAGTCGTTGAGCGAGAGGTTGTGGCGGATGCTGTTCTGCCAAGCAGGGAACTTCTCCCGATAGTAGGGGAAGCGGCCGCTGATGAACTCGCAGATCTCGCTCAGCGTCAGGCGCTTCTTGGGGCTCTGCAGGATGGCCATGGTGATGAGCGCGATGTACGAGTAGGGCGGCTTCACCAG